GGGGGGGACCTTGTCATCTGTTATCTTCGAGTACCGTGTTTTCATCTTTTCATTTTGCAGATAGTCGTGCGTCATTACCTTCACAGCGCAGGGAAAACATACCGATAGGCTGGTCTGGAAAATCAAATGTGTTTCTCGCCATGTTAGAGCTCCCTTTCCCCCTGAGAATAGACTTTGAAGAACCTCCTCTTTTGATGCACATGGGACCTGCCCATGGCATAAAACTGCAGAGATAGCAAAGGATATAGATAACGATTTGCATGCATTGATGATCAGGGTGGTCTTGAGACTAAGAAGCGTTTGAAACACTTTGTGCTAAGAGGAAACACACGCTAACAAGATATATATCACGTGATAAGTGACGTAATGAGCTAGGCTGAGACTGGATTAGCCCATTTCGTTCCGCCAAGCAATTAGAGATTCAGAAAATGCCATCCGTTAATGATCTAGATACATACAATCAGATACCCAGCAACTGGCTGCTGACTTCCCGTTGATCCAATAGCAATGGCGGACAATGAGTTGCATTCTTTTCCCCTTCAGCCACGCTGACCCCGTCCTTTCCCCCGCTACTCTCCGCCTCTATCTTTGTCTCTTATGCTGACGGTCTCGTGCTCGATCATCTCGAAACAATGCTCGAACCTCGCATCCGTCCATCACTCCCTTCTTCCACTTTCGTCACAGAAAATCAGAAAAGACCGTCTTGATCTTGGGATATGTCAGCCTTCTGTCAGATTCGTCAAGTTCGAGAATCTGCTCGGCGATCATGACAAAGCGAATGGGACGACATTCTCATCATGTTCGCCATCGGCGAGAGATATCGCTGCGCACAACGATTCCCGTCAGGTTGGAATCAAGAGTCTGGCCCTGAACCAAGATGGTCATCAGAGATGCTTCCGATCCCAATCTGGTCTCCATGGGGTTTTCGATAAAGGACTTGATTTGTCAATCATCCTGCACATTCTCGCCCAATTGTTGCTGTAGGCGCAAATGGACGTCGTCTTCAGCGCAGTTCTTGACCCGGTTAAACTTGCCTTCATGAACCACCTCTTCCTGTCCGCCCCAAACATACACGTAAGAGCACTTGAGACACGGACGACATCGAGTGAACGTCCTCATCCGACCATCAAAGCAAAGATGATACGCTCTCAGCTCCTCGTCGTGTTTGAATGGTACAATGCTTCCCTCTTCCATAAGTTCCTTCATTCTTCCCGTGTCGCCCTTGGCATTGCCCCAGGCTTTTTGAAATTGTGCGATCCTCTCGCGCAATTTATCACCGTCGTTCGGAAGTCGCCCGAGCCGCATTTCGCAGAAGGTAGAGTCGACGAGACTAAACGGCCACCATCGCGCTTTGCACTCCCCCCATATGACTTGCTCACTACTAATACATACCGCGAAGATGGCAGGAAGACCTGTACCCGCCCGGTCGGGTATTTCATCGCACGGTCCCAGCACCAAGCGTTGAAGTATTTCGCTTTCAACTTCACCTATACAATTTCAAGTCAGTAAATGGTTGAAACTGACAGCACTATCAGCTTTTACCAAGAGTGTTTGGAGCTGACTCTAGTGACTGGAGCTCCATGTCAAGAATCAGCACTATCGCCGAGACGGTCGCAAGATCCCATGCTGGTCTTTCCAGAGCGAATTCCTGTTCCACCTCGAGGATCTTCTTCTTCAATTCTTCCAATTTATCCTCCAAGGCCTCTAGTCTGGCTGACGCGGCTCGAAAGTCGATCCATTCAGGTTTTTCCTTCAACTGACCAACCCAGAAGCTGAAGCCATGGTGGACAAAGTCGAGATGGTTCAAGAGGAGACGGAATGACTCAGATTGGGCTTTTTGAGGCTGTTTCTTGGCCTTGATCAGATAATCGGCCATGGCGATGTTGATCGACGTTGCGATTTCGGCAGTGTCGAAAAAATGTCCAGGCGTCTGTTTGGGGTTCTCGTCCTTGACCAGTCGTTGTCTGGGCACCTTTTTCTTCTCTTGTGCCTGCGGCTGCTCGGGCTTCTCTTGCTCGGGCATCCAGATGTCGCTGACGGACAATGTTTTGGTATTATACGTCATGTTATGCCGTCTGTGGTAAGGAATTTGATGTTTCTTGGATTCGAGGTTGTGGATGAGAGGCAGATTTGTACGAAACTTTTGGTTGGAGATAGCAGCCAGGTACAACACCAGAGGAAGTTTACAGAGCATCACAGGACTGCAAAAGCAGCTCTCTCAAGGCAATTGCTTGTAATTGCCTTGCCAGAGTTCTTTGATATGTGTTGCATTTACGGACAGAGACAGTGGTTTGCTTTGCCTGGCGGGGCAATAGCGTTCACTGCTTGTCTATGACTTTGTTGTATTACCTCAGGGGCGCGTCTCAAACGCACAAGGAACTTTCTGACAATCCCAAGTCTCAGACACTTGCGGTTCGCATTGGAGAGACATACACCAAGCACCCCAACCCTGGTCTTGCTATACCTACTGTCCAGGTTCTGCATATCGCTTTGCGCGATTGCGAGCCCATGCCTCAGAGAGGGCAGTGGAAGAAGCGAAGGGGAGAGCATTTCAGCTCGCCGCTTTACATGTGTTTCTCGGTCTGGCCTAAACACCGTCGGCCTAAGAATGGAAAGCTACTAATACTATGTATGAGAGATGAGGCCCCAGCATGAGTCATAGGATGCGCTGTGTGGGAGACGCCAGGGGGTTAGAGAGGGGTGGTTGTTGACGGCGGTGTGCTGAGGTCGACATTGTCAAGAAGCAGTTGTTGGAAAGTCCTTTGTTTATTGTCTGATTACTGTCGACGGGTCGCAGAGCGTACCACTCCAACTAACCCACCCCATGGACCTGGACACAAAGCGAAACACCTCTTCATTGTTCACCGAAGACCATTCGCCCCTTTTCCACAGTCAAGGCGCTTCATATGCAGGCGATTCCTTGTCCCCAAGCACAACGATAGTATAAACAGTTTGCGGCATTGCCTCTAATCTGTGATTGTGTCTCGGTGTGTCTTTGTCAAACTTTGAAACCACCACCGCTCTCCTCCCATGTCTTTCCGTACGTTTCTCTAAAAAACAAACGGCCTTTGTTTCTACCCCCACCCTTCCCCATTTTTTTGGTTTCTACCACATCTATACACAGAGAACTGCTAAGAGATGAGTTATCCGGCTCACAGGAAGCAAATTAATAGTGGGCAGGAACTTCAAAACTACCAGTCAATAGGTCTTTGTCGTGTTTCTGTTTATCCCAAGACGGAGTGCTGAGTATTTTTCTTACGAGGTGTTGAGGATATCGCTGGCAAACCGTTGAGAAGGACTACCTTGGTCAGGCATGTAGTCACACGAGGCTGTGACATGGTGGAGCCACTCACATCTAAGTCCACTTTTTAAACCTTCTTTGGCGATAAAAACTACATACGGCTTCGATACACGGTTTCGCTTCGCTAGATAGCCATACAGGAAAAACAGCCTCTAACGAATCGAGAGGATATTTTTACTTTTGGCCTCGAGGTCTCTGGTAGTCTCAAAAGAAAGTCTATCTGAACGTCTTTTGTCTCTATATGATGAATGCTAGATCAAAACGACCCACGCTCGCTTCCCTATATGCTTTGTTTTTGCCCCTGGACAAAAAGAAATGATGCTCGAGGTCACAGTTTGACCGGGTATTTCTTCCGAATCGTCTCGCCGTAGCGAAAGAAGAACCAACTCATCGGCGCCAGAGCGAGCGCGATGAATGCAAGCAGAGAATTGCCCCAGCCCAGGCCCAGAGCCGCGTACATTTCGGGCCCCGCCAGGGGGAGGAAGGCGCCCATTAAACTTCTCAAGACGGTGTTGGCGGCGATGGCCGAGGCGGCGTGAATGTGGTATGCATCGACGAGATATGTCTGCATCGGCATAAAGGTCGCGAGCAAACCGAATCCGACAAAAGACGTGCCAATGATGGGCATAATCCAATGGACCGCCTTGTCCGCGGACCATCCGTACCAGAACAAGCCAATGGGAATGAGAAGACTGCCAGGGATGAGTGGTGGCAGCCTGTATTCGGGTTTCATTTCCCCCTTGGCCGACAACTTCTTAACGACCTTGTCTGACAGCGTCCCGAAAATGACCAGCCCAATCATGGAACCGATGCCAATTCCGAGAAAGCTCAGTCCAACCGTGCCTTGGTTAAAGTGGTATTGCCCTTCAAAGACAATGGTGAGCGTGGTGAAGAGAAGATATAGGTAGCCGTAGACCACTGCCATGTAGACAGACAGCAAGAGGACGATCGGCGAGAAGAGGAGCATCTTGGTGGGCCGCACAAGAGCACGGACGAAGAAGACGCGCATGGCGAGACCCTGGTCGAGCTTGGAGCGTAGATTGAGATTGCCCGTCTCCTTGCGGAGTCGTTTCGCCCGCTGCTCCAGGAGCGTGGGTTCGAAGGTCTCCCGCAGGAAGATGACCGAGACACACAACATGACGCCGCCAGCGATGGTGATGAGCCAAAAGATCCAGCGCCAGCCGGCGGCCTGGCCCAGATATCCGCCCGCTACAGGACCAATGACTGGGCCCATGAGCGGTCCCAGGGTGAACAAGGCCATCGCGCCACCTCTCTTCTCTTGGGCAATGAGATCTGCTATAGAGCCACCCCCAATGGTGATTGGGCAACTTCCCGCGATTCCTGCCAGAAGACGGAAAACCAACAACGACCCCATTCCGGGTGCCAAAGCACACGCCATCGTCCAGATGACGAACGTAAAGTTGCTGACATGGTAGACGAGGAGCCTTCCCCATATTTCGCTGCACGGGGCAATGAATAGAGGACCCAAGGCGTAGCCCAGGATGTAAATGGAGACAATGAAACTACCGATGGTGTTATTGGATGAGTGGAATTCTTTCATGATCAAGGGTGTGGCTGGGGCGACCATCGACGAGGCCAGAGGTGTCAGGAAGGTGACAGAAGATATGATGGCCACGTTGGACCATTTCTTCCTGTTCGTCCAGTTGATGGCTTTCTCCGGGTCATTTGGGCCGTCCCAATCGACGATATTTGGATCGTGGTCGACGGTGACAGCGGGCGGGCCCTTCTCGTCGGCATCCTGAGTCGGATCGATGACCGGGATGCCGTGTTCAACATCGGGATCGAGCGGCTGTGGATTTGGTTCTTCTAGGTCCTTTTCCGAGAGGGTGGATGAATGGCTGGGGGTGTTTGCTTCTTCGTCGGCTTCGAGATGCTTGTCGTGCGAAGCAACCGGATCGGGCGACTTGGCCGCCATGCGATCTGGTAATCCATTTTGCGTCGGTCAGTATACAGAAAACGTCTAAAATGAACAAAGGCGAAGCATCTGGGAATATTTATCTCGATGGGATGGACTTTTGTTTTCGGAAAAATCTTACATGTTTATCTCAGGTGGTTTACGGGTTTGTGGGGGCGAAGATCCCCAGAAACCATCAAGTCAAAACTCGGTTAAAGGGCAGGATCCAGCTTCAAAACAAGAATACAATGGTCCACGGTAGATAACACTCGTACAAAGGAAGAACAAGGGGAAAAGTCCAAGGAGAGACAAGCAGATATCGATCTACCACAGGACAGCATCTCCGCGATCTCGGAAATGCCCAGCAAGCTATGTATTTAATGAGCGGTTCACGCCTCTTTGGACCCCTTATCAAAAAAGGTCGCTGTAGATTCCCCTCCCCACTGTTCGGCAAGGCCAGTATCCGTGTGGAGGAGACGGCGTTCATAGTCGTGCTTAACTCCGGGTTAGCCATAAACAGCAGCTCTGCTTATATACAGCCGAATTCGTGTATAGGACGAGAAAAATGAATGAGCAATGCCCTGCGCCTCTGATTGACTACCTTGGAATTTTGGATATCGCTTGTCTCTTGGGTAGAAGACTAAAGAGTCTCGGGTGGGTTGGTGTATCAGGGGCTCGGTGTGCTCCAGATCGTTATACACGGGGACCAAAGCCACACGACCAAAGCTAATTTGTGCACCGAACACAAAGAAAAGTTATGCCAAATGATTGGTGATGGGGGGCCTCGGTCTGCAAGACACTACCTACTGGTGCAACTGGCGCAATTTACGGACTACAGACTAGTCAAGTCCTCCGCTTCCCCAAATTGCCTAATACATGGAGAGTCCGCGGCAATTGCGGCACATTTCTCCACTGCAGCTGAGAGGACGACTCAAGATCGCACAAGATACCTCGCACATTGTGGTGGTATAGCTCTCTATTGAGTGCGCAGCATTTCTCGATTGCTACACTCGATATATGCGAGCCACGCATTCAATCTATATTCCATTTGAACGACTTGCTCGGCCAACTTGTTCATATTGCCAAACCTGCACTATTTTTCTGCCGGGGTTCTGCATATTGTCAGTGATGAAATTCCTGTGCCAGCGTGAAAGAGGGGAGCTTCTGCAGTTAGTGGCGCAAACTGTGGGGACACTTACCGCCTGCTGCTTCAAACGTGCCATTGGGTAGACGGCGGATGCTCTAGGTTGGTGTTAGTATGGACAACGGTTGTAGGGGGAACAGGCCTGTCCTGTGATATGATCTCAGGCGGGTAACTTACTTGAGCTGAGCTCTGGCCGGGTGCAATCTGCAATCATGATCGTGTCAGCCTTATTCGAGGTGAACGCCTAGGTGGAAGAACGGGCGCTTCTTCCCGGGCTGGAAGAGTCACTCACAAAGGAAATGTTGTGGCCTCTCGACTTCATGAATGCCACTGTCTCGTTGTCGTACGCGTACTCAAACGTCACCTGGTTTGGAATGAGTTGATCGTGAAGGCGAGGCTGCGCCAGCGCCTGTGGAGCTGTCATGTTCTGGTCAAGCACGTGGACCAGACTCTGAATTGTGGCTGTGATGATCCTTGATCCTCCTGCCGCGCCGGTAACATAGTAAAGCGTTCCGTTGCCATACTCAACGATGGTGGGTGAAATGGATGACAGTGGTCTCTTCCCCGGTCGCACATAGTTGGACGGACTTGGAACATATCCAAAGGCATTCGACGATCCGGGAATGGAAAAGTCGTTCATTTCGTTGTTCATGATCACCCCCGTCTCGGGGACCAGAATCTGCGACCCAAACAACAAGTTGATTG